TAGCGGGCGACGCGCGTCACCCCGGAAACCGCGAAACAACGCCCACTTGTGACAGTCTGAGTCTGGGGGCCAAAGATAAAACCATCCAGCCTCGCACGAACAACGGGCGAAACGTGTCGCCCCCTGACCGCTTGACACAACCCGCATGCAAACTTGGTATTTGGGGCGCCAACGCAAGGCCATGCAGGAGCGCGAAAGCGGGCGACGATGTGCGTCACTCCCGACATCGCCGGAGAAAAACCAAATACGCGCTCGAGGCTCCTGGGCTACATGGCAGCTGCCCATGGCCAGCCTGGGAACCAAAGAAAACATTTAATCGCATGAAGAACGCAAGCAAATTGAATGCTTTGAAATAGTTGATAAATATGTCCCCGCTGTATAATCACACGGAAACCGTTCGCCGGGTTAGCGATGTGGCACGCGGCACGCGCGAAGCGCAACTGCGCGCGCCCGCCCAGGAGTGATCCACCCCGGACAACTCGAACACCTCGCTTGCGAGCCGACGACGCAAAGCCGCCGAATCTGCGCGTCTCCGACCTGCATCTGCGACGGCAGCGGCGGCGGCGACGCGGCGGAAAGCGTGAAAAAATTGCAAAAGCAGCAGCGCACCCGCTGACAGGAACGACGGCGCCAGGACAACGACGACGGGGCCGATGGAAACTGCGCGCGAGGAGACGGATGGGGGGCAGGTGCGCGACATCGCCTGGAGAACAGCATTGGGCGAAGAGGGGGCGCGGAAGGCGGGCGGGGGGGGGGGGGCGACTGGGACTTATGGGGGCGGCGGCTACAACAGCCTCGATGGGGCTGCTGAGGACGGGCCCTCGGAACGACGGGGGGGGAGGGCGACGGGGTCGAGAAAAGTCCATGGAAGCGGGCCCGGGCCGCGCGAAGCTACAGGCCGACTCGACACTGCACAGGGCCACGGGCCACCCGACACTTCTGCGATCCAACTTCCCACATGGCCACTGCACCATCATCGCGCGAATGCCGATGGCAAAACGTCCTGCGCGCCCCCACGGGCCGACGACGTCGAGGGCGCGCCGCCTTGGCCCGCGCGGCTGCCGCCGCTGCGAACTGCGAGTGAGCCAGTCCCAATTGAATAAAATGTGGATTCAGGGAGCCAGCGTAAGGCCATTCAGCTTCACAAAAACAACGGGTTACACGTGTCACTCCGAAAACCACCTGAGGAAAAACCTACTGTGGATGTGAGATTTTGGAAACCAACATAAGGCCATTCAGCTTCACAAGAACAACGGGTGACACGCATCACACACGGAAGCGCGTGACGAAACCCAGTTGTAACGTTTGGATTATGTGAGCCAACATAAGGCCATTCAACTTCACAAAAACAACGAGTGACACGTGTCACCCCGACGACCATCTGACACAATCAACTTGAAATTCTGAGACTCTGGGAGCCAACATACGGCCAGTCAACTTCAAAAAAAAACAAATACAACGGGTGACACGTATCACCACCGAACCTTGCGGCAAAACCCAATTGAGAAATGAGTCTGGGAGCCCACATTCGACCATTCAGCTAAACAACGGGTGACACGTGTCACCCCCAGACCGAGTGACAAAACCCGATTGTAGCATTGAGATTCTGGGAGCCCAAATAAGGTCATTCAGCTTCACACAAACAGCGGGTGACACGTGCCACCCCGAAAACCACCTGACAAAATCCCCTTGTAAATCTGGGGTTCAGGAAGCCAACATACAGCCATGCAACGTCACAAAAATATCGGGTGACACGTGACACCACCGAAAAATTGTGACAAAACCCAGTTGTAACATTGGGGTTTTGGGAGCCAACATAAGGCCATCCGGCGTCACAAACGCAACCGGTGACACGAGTCACTCTGAAATGCGCTTGAGAAAACCAAGTATGGGTGTGAGATTATGGGGGCCAACATACGGCCATTCAACTTCACAAGAACGGGTGACGCATCACCCCCGAAACCGTCTGAGAAAACCCAGTTGTGAAATTGCATTCCCAACATGAAGCCATTCAGCTTCACAAGTGTCAACTTCACCAAAGCAACGGGTGACACGTGTCGCCCCCGACAACGTGTGCCAAAATCCAATTGTAAAATTGGAGCTCTGGTAGCCAACGTAAGGGCCATTCAAATTCACACAAAAACAACGGGTGACGCGTGTCGCTTCCGAAACCGTCTGAGAACCGCAGCCACCAACGCATCGGTGGCTGCAGCAGGGGCGGCTGGCACCCGTGGGCGGACACAATCCCTCAGGACCCCATCTGTGAATCTCCGCTCCCAGGCGAGCACGTGCAGTGCCCGCCCACTGGGCCATCCGCCCCTGCCGTCGTCTCCGAAAGGAGGCCAATCCCCATACGGGGTCACAACGCCGCCGCCTCCGACGAGAAGCGCAAACGACGACGACGACGACGACGACGACGACGACGACGACGACGACGACGACGACGACGGGACGGCGGCGGCGACGGCGGCGGCCCCCCTGCGAGGGTGCTCCAGGGCGCCTCCTGCGCGCCAGGGTGCTCCACACGAGCCCCCGGTCGCAGCGCGGGGGCGGCTCCTCCAGCGCCCGGCCGCAGCGGCGGCGCCGGCGCACCGAGGGCACGCACAGCCTGGCCGCCGCCGTCGTCCGCCGTCGTCGCCGCCGCGCCCTGGCCTGCGACGCCGCCGCCGCCGCCGCCGTCGCCGTCGCCGTCGCCGTCGCCGTCGCCGTCGCCGTCGCCGTCGCCGTCGCCGTGGCCGTCGCCGTCGCCGTCGCCGTCGCCGTCGCCGTCGTCGTCGTCGTCGTCGACGTCGTCGTCGACTGCGTCCTTTCCCGCGAGGGAGGGGGAGGAGGCGGAGGGAGGGAAGGAGAGGGCAGACGGAGGAAGGATCAAGAGGATAGGTCGTTTGAGTCTCGGTGTTTTATGAAGGGGGGCGCTCTACGGGCACTCGGGGGGCCGAAGAGGAGGGAGGAGGCGGGCGTGGAAGGGAGGGCGGACAAGAAGAATGAGGATGGGAGGAGCAGAAGCAGGAGATCTCTCTCTAGAGAGGCCCAGGGCTGCCCGTTTCAATCAACCTCCTCCTCCTCCTCCTCCTCCTCCTCTTCCCCCTCCTCCTCTTCCGCCTCGTATAAAGGTTACTCATCCCCTTCCTCCACATGTTGCGACTGCTCCTTCTGCGCCTCAACCTCCTCACCATGCCCCTGCCCTTTCCCCTTCATTATCCTCCGACTCGTTCTCCGTTTCGCCCCTTAAGTACTCTCTTCCTCCTCCTCCTCCTCCTCCTCCTCCTCCTCCTCAACCTCCTCATCCTTCTTCCCTGTTCTTCAACTTCGCCTTGTCAGTCCGTAGCCATTTGGGCTCAGAATGTTTCCCTGGGGGGCTGCTCAACCTCCAGGCAGCAGGAATACCGTCCCAAGTCAAAACTGTTCGCCCTATGAGCTCCCGGAGGAACCTGGACTTCCGTCAGCGTTCCGGGCACCACAGTGTGTCGTCACGATGGCCCCGAAGGGTAAGGGTCGCTCGACGTACACGGTGTGCGCTGACTGCGTGCGAGCGCTGAGTGTGGGATCGGAAGTTGGACAAGCAGAAGGGCTACTGCAAGTGCGGGCAGTCTTTGGGGACCAAGAACCTGCAGCTGTCCCTGGAGCCGGCGCCCTGGTCGACGAAGAAGACGGGCTAGGCCAAGGGGTCGTGGGGATCCCGTGGCTACGGTGGTAGCGTGCGGGGGTCGGCCTGGCCCCGCTTGCCTCGCACTGGCTCGCATATCAACCACGACTTGGGGGGCTCATCGCCGAGACGCTGGAGCAAGTCTCGGAGCCTGGGCTGCAGTCGGCGGTTCGGCTCGTCAAGAAGCAGCTGGACCAGCAGGCGGCCGCTGCGACTGCGCCAGCCCCGCCCAAGCCTGTGCTGCCGCCCGAGCGGCTCCAGCGCGCCGACGCGGCGACCCGCAAGGCGCAGAAGGCAGTCGACGTGGCCCTCAAGGAGCTCGAGCAGGCGAAGCAGAAGATCGGGAAGGTGGAGGTGGTCGAGCTGGACGTCGGTGTGCTTGCCGACTGCAAAGAGAAGGAGAACCTCCCTCGAACCTGCAAAGGCGACGGCTGCACCCTGCCTTCACAAACGCGGAAGACTACGACGACGGGTACCGGGAGCTCGTCGAGGCGCACAGGAAGCAGCTGGACCTCAGGGCGCAGCAGCACAAGGACGCATTCAAGGAGCTGGATTGCCAACGGCAGGCCCAGGAGCAGGCCATCGCGAAGGCCCGGGGGGGGGGGAGGTGGTGCGCATGCAGAAGAAGCAGGAAGATCAAGTGCGCGAGGCTTCAACCCAGACTTCTGGCTGCTCCAATTTTTGTAGATGCGTGGGCCCTGGAGGTCGAGACCCCGTCCCCGGGCCCAGCTTCGCGCCCTGAATCGTTTTTCGACGCTTCCTAGGCCCGGCGAGGGCCGCCGGAGGCCGAAATCAGCCAAAAACCGCCCGCGCCAATTCTTTTTTGGAGCATCGGCTCTCTGCAAGCTGCCCTCCTCAAGGGTCAGACGCACTTCGCCGAGCCTCGGCGCGGGACCGACGGCCCGATCGGCACGCAGGCCGCGGGTCCTCGGGCCGAGCGTGCTGCGGCCGCGGCCGCGGACCCTCGGCGGCGACGAGAAGGGCGAACAGCCCAGGGGCGGACATTACACGCAGTCGCCCGGGAACCTCGCCGAAGACATGGATCATCGGCGCCCCTGGATACATGCTGTGGAGACCAGTCCACAAGAAATCCGCCGACCCTGTCGGCGTGTGTGAGAGGCTTCTCCGTTCGACTCGACGTCTCCGTCGTCTCCGTTCTCCCCCTCCCAGGGCCTCGACGTCCTTCCTCCCTTCCCAAAGCTCCTCCTCCTCCTCCTCCTCCTGCTCCTCCTCCTCCTGCTCCTCCTCCTCCTCCTCCTCCTCCTCCTCCTCCTCCTCCTCCCTCCTCCTCCTCCTGCTCCTCCTCCTCCTCCTCCTCCTCCTCCTCCTCCTCCTGCTCCTCCTCCTTCTCCTCCTCCTCCTCCTCCTCATCCTCCGCTTCCTCCCCCCACTCCTAGCCCTTTCGATCAGGGTCGACGGCACCGGCCGTCAGGCCGCTCCAATCTTCCACAAGAAACTCAACCCTGAGACCCCAGGACGTCCAATGATTCTTGGTGTGGGAGTGTTGCGCTTGCCACAGGAACCTCAGTGCACCCTGGAGGCAAGCAGGGTGTTTCTTGGCATGGGCCTCCACTGTATCGCTGCCTCCGAGACCCTCCTCTCTCGGCTCCTGCTGGCGCGTGTTCAGGCGGGGAGCGCAGTTCCGAGGGCGTCGAGGCGAGGCGGGCCCTCAGCGGAGGCGCGGTGCCGCGAGTGCCAGAGGCTGCCGCGGGTGCTTCGCGAGTGCTCTGCCTCCCGCGGGCGCTCGGCCTGCTGCGCCTGGTAGCGCCGCGGCTCCTGGGGCGCCTCGGGGGTGACGACCAGTCGGGGGCCCAGGCGGGCCCTGCAGCGGCGCCCAAGACTTCTCCTGTACCTGATCGAAGCGGCCCGCGCGGGCCGAGCAAGCAGTCCGAGGAGCGCGTTCTTTTATCATCGGCGATGACCGGCGTCATGGGGGGGGGGCTGGTGGGGGCTATGGCGTAGCGCCCCCTCCCCTCGGCCATGCGGCTCCGGCACCATAGCTGTGCCCCCACGCACGACGACGATGAGCGACGAGCGACGAGCGACGACGATGACGACGACGACGCGAGCAGCATGTAGGTGGCGATCTGCCCCACAGCACATGTGTACACCACAGTGCTCGCGTGCACCACACTGCAACAGCCATGTGCAACGCACAGCCTGTGTACACCACAGCGATTGCGTGCACCACAGCGCCGGTGTACACCACAGCGAATGTGTATACCGCAGCAGCCATGTGCAACACAACGCCTGTCTACACCACAGTGCTTACGTGCAACGCAGCGCCTGTGCACACTGCAGCGCTTGTCTACACCAGAGCATCCGCGTGCAACGCAGCGCTGGTGTACACCAAAACGCCTGCGTGCACAGGACAAGTAAAAGGAGCATGTCGGTGAGGATCTGCTGCGGACAGCTAAACGTCACGCCAGGGAAATGCCAATGATAGAATGCGACGTTTCTCCCTCCTCCCTCCTCCACCTCCGCCTCCTCCTCCTCCTCCTCCTCGTCTTCGTCCTCCTCCTCCTCCTCGTCCTCCTCCTCCTCCTCCTTCCTCACCCTTCCCCCCTGTCGTGCGGGTCGGCACTACAGCGCACGTGCGCGTCTCAGCGTGCACCGCAGAATGGTCTATTCACTGGTGCCGCGCTGGGTGCACGCAGGCATTGTGGGGTACACTGGTGCTGTGTTGCACACGGCTGATGTGGTGTACGCGGGAGCTGTGGTGTACACAAGCGTTATGGTACCAGCAGGCACTGTGGCACACACTTGCGCTGTGATGCACGCGGCCGCTGTGGTGTACATAGGCGGTGTGGTGTACACAGGCGCTGTGATGCACGCAGGCACTACGGTGTACACAGGCGTTGTGGTGCAGATTGCCACCGACATGCTGCTGCTAATTACCCGTCCCCGGTGATTCCTATGAGCATTCCCAGGCGCCGCCGGCGCGAAACGTCACGTCATCGCCACTGTCCACCCCCCCAAATGACTGCCGCCATCGGCCCATAATAAACAAACAGGCTCCAGCTGCGTTCGCGCGCACGACGACAATGAGCGACGAGCGACGAGCGACGAGCGACGACGACTGCGGACAAGACTCCGATGCGGATTCCTATGCGGACACCTGTGAGGATCACGATGCGCACGGCGGCAGTGCCCCGAACGAACTCATAAGCGGGGGGGGGCGGGGGCAATGACGCCCGTCATGCCCCAAGCAATCAAGAACCGGGCTCGAGGACGGCCCCATTGTGTTCTTCTGTAGCGCGGAGAAGTGGGGCCCGCAGGCGGCGAAGCTCGTGGTCGCGCGCGGTGGCGAGGTGTGCTGAACACACACCTCTCGGAGGCCAGGCAGTTCGACGCGGTGGTCGGCGTCGCGAAGGACGGCTGGAAAGCATCGGGTTCGTCTGCCTGGGCCTCCCGCAAGTCCGAGACATGCACACGGGGGGGGAGCTGGTCGCGACGCGGATGGAGATCGCGGTCACCTCGCTCGAGCACCTGATGCGTGCCTTCTCCGAGAAGGCCCAGGATCCGCTGCTCGGATCCGCCCCGCTGGTGCTCCCACTGAAGAGGGGCAACCTGGTCGTGGTGATGGCTTACATGCTCCCAGGGCTGGGAGTGTGATGGGGGCGACCAGCGGTGGTGCGCGGCGCTGGGCGCGGTCCTCCAGGGCCTCGCGGACCCGTGGGTGGTGCTCGTCGATTGGAACCTCCAGGAAGACGGGCTGACGTCGACGGACGTCCCCGAGGTCGGCGGGACCGCGCTGCTCCTGCGAGACACCGCGGCCACGTGTTTCAAAGAGGCGGGTCGCCTCATCGACTACGCTGCGCCCTGGTGACCAACGATCTCGCGTCTCAGCTGGACCTCCAGGCCGTCCTCCACGCGCCGTGGAAGGTGCACTGCGGGCTCAACCTGCGGGTCCGGGGGGCTGGGCAATAGGCAATCGGCCATTCCGTCGCCCATTCCCTCGCCGCAGCGCCCCTCCCGGGCAGTGGACCTCTCCGGCAAGACGTCGAAGAGGAAGGCTGAGCAGCTAAGCTCGGAGGCGTGGGAAAACTTCGCAGCAGTTGCGCGAGTCGGTCGACGAGATGAAACAAGGCGGCTGTGCCAGCCGCGGGGCGAATTCGTGGGCTGCGTCGACCTGGGTGCCCCGAGGCTGGCGGGCTTTTTGCTGGTGGCGGTGGCGGACCGGCTCTGCTGGAGTTGCCAGGCGCCTCGTCGTCCCTTCGACTGGGACGACGGGGGCCCTGGCGACGACTTCTTCGAGGACGCGGCTGCTTCTGGGCCTACTGGCGGGGGTGGCGGTTTCGGCGTGGAAGACGTAGACCAAACCGTATGTATGCCCCAGAGCAAGCCGACCATCGGCCACGCTGCCGGGACCAATTTTGGCGTGAAAGGCGTTGAAGGCCAAACCGCGTTGAAGGCCAAACCGCGTGTCTGCGCCTGCCGCGGCGACCGGACCAAACGCCACAACGCCCTGCGCAACCAGGCCTTCTTCGACGCCCTGGCCGCCGGCCACGCCGGGGCGGAGTTGGAGCGCCCGGGGCTGCTACCCGCGCGCCCCGCCGGGGAGGCCACCCCCGGGGGCGAGCAGGGCGGGTCCCAGGTGGACGACAACGGCCGCCGCCCTGCCGACGTCTACCTGCCGCGGTGGCGCAACGGCACGGCGGCCGCCTGGGACTTTGCCGCCACGTCAGGGTTGCGCGCCGATCTCCTCGCCGCGTCGGCCGCTTCGTCAAGCGCAGCGACGGAGCGGTACGAGGAGTTCAAAAGGCAGCACCAGGGCGCGGCTCTGCGCGGCACAGGGCTTCACTTTCCTCCCCATGGTGGTGGAAGCCCACGGCGGCGGGCCGCGAGGCACGCAGGGCCTTCGGGGTCCTGGCCAAGCGGGTGGCTGACGCCACGGGGGAAGACGCCGCACTGGTTGCGGACCAACATGCCCAGCGACTTTCCGTCTCCCTGCACAGGGAGAACGCGCGGGCGGTGTTGCGGCGCCTTCAGACCCTGTCTGGAGGGGCGGGGGTGGCAGCGGCCCGCCTGGCCGCGGCCACGGCGGCCTCCACGGCAGACGCCGTGTGAGGTGCCCCCTGCGCTGCCTAGCGCACCCCGCCCCCCCCCCCCCTGCCCTTGCTGGGCAGCGCGGGCGCCCCCCTCGCCCTTTCGCCAACGTCGCGCCGGCGACCCCCCCCACGCGCCGCCCGGCCTTTCCCCGGCGGGGCGGTGGGTGGATCCCGCAGAGGGCAATCCCCACCAAGCCGCATCGCGCTGGGTTCGGGCGGCCACCCCGCCCAGGTCGCCGCCGTAGGGTCCGCAGCCTCGTCGCGGGCGGCTCTTCTTTCCCGGCCCCTGGCCCGGCCTGTCTGCTTGCGGCCGCTGCTTTCTCTCCTCCTTGTCCTCCTCCCCCTCCTCCCCCTCCCTTCGCTTCCGCTCGTTGCTTCCCTCCCTTTCCTTTCCTCCTGCTCCCTGCCTGCTGTCTCCGCCTGGCCCGTCTTCTGACTGCCCGCCCGCCCCGCCGGCCCTGGCCCCCCGCCTGGGCGTTCGTCGTCGTCCGCCTGCTTCCCCCCTCCTCGTCCCCTTCCGCCGGGCAGCGCAGCCTGCCCGGAACCAGCGTGGCGGCATAGAATCGCGGATCTCCGCCGCTGAACGAGGCGGCGCCGGCCGCCATTTTAGGGAGGGCACACAGCCCCACAGAACCGCGCGCATGCCCCGGAGCAGGCCGAACATCGACCACAAAGCTGGGGGCGAGGGGCCTCCTGGCGGGGTCCTTGGTGATTCCAGCACGGCGAGGCCTGTCGAGCTCGCGTTCAGGAAAGGGGTCCAGGGCGGCGAGCTGGAGCAGGTTTTCTTCGTCTCGGCGGTTTCCTGTCAGTGCGCAGCGCAGGCGCCCCCAGTCGCGGAGTGGGGGCGCTCTGAAGTCAAGCGCGAGTTGGGGGCGCGCCGACTGATGAAGCGCGCTGGCAGGGACGACGACATCGCAAGCCAGATGCACACGACGCGGGTCACGAGGCTCGAGGCGGTCTTGCTGGATGCCTGCGGCTGCGAAGGGGAGGCCGAGCGGCGGCCCTGCTGCGGTCGCGCCCGAGGCTTCGCCTTCCGCCAGGTCAAGTTGCGAGCAGCCCCTGGGGGGGCTCACGCGAGGCGACAGGCTGCGGGGCGCGGGTGCGTGGTGGACTCGATCTTGGAGCAGCTGGCTGTCCTGCGGCGCGGGCGGGAGGCTGAGGTCCAGCAGCAGAAGGGCTTTCTCGAGTTGCTGGGGGAGGTGGGTCCCGTCATGCTGGCCGCGGAGGAGCACTTCAACCGCGGGGTTGCCCAAGAGGTGCGTTAAGTCTGGACCCAGGCGCTGAGGTGCGCAGGCAAGCTGCCGCTGGACGAGCTGGCGGCGATAGAAGAGGTCACCAGCGCCTTCGCGCTGGCGAGCCAGGGTCGCGCGCTCTCGAAGCACCGCAGGGGCCTCGCGGCCTGGCTGGGCAAGGCCCGCGTGGGCTTCCCAGCCTGGAGCCCTTCACCGCCGTGTTCGGGACCCCGGGCCAAGGGTCGTGGAGTCAGTCGCGGACGGCAAGTCGGTCGCGGAGCCCGCCCGGGCTACGAGCGCTGAGGCGAAGCGCCGGGGCGGGCTGTGGCGAGTGTCCTCGGACTCGCGGGACGACCTGATGATCCGCGTCCAAGCGACCCGCTTGACGAACTGGAGGATATGGAGAGCCTTGGTCGCGAACAGCGCGCGCAGAGGCCCCGGAAGGCCCGCGGAGTCGACGGCCTGGGCGCCGACGACGTCGCGCGGTTGCCTCAGGCATGCCACGACGAGCTCCTTCAGCTCCTGCAGGCCTGCGAGCGGCACGGCTGCTGGCGACGGCAACTGCTGGGGGTCATCGGCGCCGCGCTCCCCGAGGCGGCGGGGGGCGAACGGATCATCGGCATGCTGGCGCTGCCGCCCAAGGCGTGGTCTCGGGCGCGGTCGCCCATCATTTCGGGCTGCGCGGCGTGCCGCTTGCAGCCCTCACGACGCCGCGCTTCAACGAGGAGAAGCTGCGGCAGCTGCATCCGCAGCGAGCTCGACGCGTTACGGGACGATTTGGGCGTGGTGACAGTGCTCGGGGGCGGCTCTGGCGGGCGGCACTGGTCGGACCCTCGCGGGCGGCGCTGTTGGGGGGGGCGGCCATCGCAGTTCTCGAGCGCATATGCCGGGCGAGGCGTGGAGGCCCGCTGCCGGGCGTGCAGTGCCGCTCGTGGGCCCGAGGGCACGGCCTCGGGCCGAGATTTCAGCATTCGCTCTCGCGCCTGAGCCGACCACAAGATCGCTGCTGGGGATCACGAGCAATCATTCCGTGCGGCGCGTGCTCGCCTGTCTGCCGCTCGCGACCGCAGCCTCGCGGACGAGGACATGTGGCAGCGGGCCGGGGATGCAGTGGCTGCTCGAGGCGCGGGGGAGGTGCAGGTTGACCGAGTGGCTTCGCATGCTGACGAGCATGCCCACCTACTCACCTCCCCGCGCGACCTGTTTCTCGCCCTCGGCAATGCGATCGCTGACGTGGGGCGCGGTTCGGGCGGCTGAGGCTGGGTGGAGGGCGGGCTTGATCAGAACGGAGTCTCGCACGGACGAGGCCGACGGCATCGCCGCGCTCGTGCGCCGACGGGCGCGCAGAGCGCTCGAGCGGGGGAGCGCCGCCAATGCGGGGAAGGGGTGCCGCGCGGCCAGCCCAGAGGCGGCCAGCGGGCACGGCTGCTCGGGCCCTGGTGCAAAGTTCGGAGCATGAAGATTGGTAGCGTGCGGCAGTAGGTGGACCTGCGTCAGACACAACCGGATGGTGCAACCGCAAAACCTCTTGCGTGCCAGCAGCCGGCAGCAGTCAGTGGAAGACGGATGGAGCCCATCCCCCGCATGTGCTCCAAGGAATGGGGGGCTTCGAGCACCTCTGAACCGCAGTCTTCCCGCTGAAGGCGGGGATGAAATGCAGCTGCACGTCTTACACCGACTGGCGTTCTGGCCCGAGTATTCTGTCACGTTCTGCCAGAGGTGCTGGCGGTACACGACGGGTAGCGACCGGCGCCACCTGGTGAAACGATGTCTCGGGCAGACGTGCAAGGGCGCTGAGAATCTTTCGCGAATTCGGCGGGGGTTTATTCCCTCGGCGCGAAGGCGCCCCGGAGGCGATCCTACATGCTCACCGCCGCCGCCGCCGCCGCCGCCACCGCCGTCGTCGTCGTCGTCGTCGTCGTCGTCGCTGCCGCCCCCGCCACCGCCGCTTCCGCCCGCCGCCGCCGCCCGCCAGCCGCCCACGCAGGGCGTGCGTGCCTCTCGGCCTCGCCCGCGGCGCCTGGCGGCGGACTCGCGACCCGCGGCGCGGCATCCAGCCCCACCGCGTGCGGGAGCGCGCCCCTGCCGCCCAGGAGGGGCTCGGCCGACTTCCAGCGGCGCACCTGCGCCGTGCGCGTGCGGTGCGAGGGCGGCGGCGCGGAGAGAGCACCGGCTGGCTCCTTCTTCTGCCGAGGGGCTCTCCCCATCTGCTCTTCGGCCACCGCGCCTTCTTCCTCCTCGTCGTCGTCGTCCTCCTCGTCCTCATCTTCTCCCGTCCCCCTGCCCTCTCCGCTGCTGCTCTGCCCGCGTGCTCCTCCTCCTCCTGCCCTCCTCCACCTTACCCTTTTGATCGTGCTGCCGCAACTCCTCCTCCTCCTCCTCCTCCTCCGCCTCCTCCTCCTCCTTCTCTTCTCCCCCCTTCTCCTCATTATCCGCATCATCCACCCTATCCCCATTATGCTAGTAATCAAACTCTCTGTCCACCGCCTGGGCGCTCTTTATTTAAGCAAGTAGCCTGGAAGCCCCTTCCTCGCCTGGTGGCCCCCGAGCGCTCCATGGGGGGAGGTCTGGACAGGTCTACGGTGATCCCAGGTCGGCCGCAGCACTGTGGGCAACGCTGCCTGCACCCTTGGTGCCCTGGCGGGTTCGAACCTTACGCCGATGGATAACTGCATATGCTCATCAGGCTCTGGTGCCGAGGCAGATGCGACATCGACAATTTCGAGGAGGCTTCGCAGACCCTGGTCTTCCCGAGACACCTTCGCACGGGGGGAGGGACGGGGCGGCAGGGGGAGGGGGAGGGAAGGCATGGGGAGGGGGAGGGGAAGGGGCGGCAGGGGAGGGAAGGGCGGGGAGGATCCCCCTGGGAGCCCTTCGCCAAGTGGCGAGGAGCCCGACGGGTCTGCCGTGTCGGGGACAGGCTGCTGCGGCCCCCCTCCTTTGGGTGCTGCTCTGCTCTTTCCCCTCTGCTCTAGTTCGCCTGACCTCGCGCATCGCGCCCCGCGATGCGCGGCTATGTTCGCGCCCTCGCGCCGCTGCCCTAGAAAAGGGCACTCTCCAACCCAAGCCGCGATGCGCGAAGAGCGATTATCTTCGCGCCCCTGGTGGTGACCTAGGTACTTGTCCTGGCTTCCCGTGGTTGCATCGGCTACGACCCAATCTTGCCGTCGGCTTCCGACTGTTCGACTAACGGGAGGGGGAGGGGGAGGAGAGTGAGGAGGGTGAGGAGGAGGAGGAGGAGGAGGAGGAGGAACAGGAGCAAGACCAGGAGGAGGCGAAGGAAGTACCGATGGCAGCACCCGTGACAGGGATCAAATGTCCACAGTTCTGAGCCCTGAGGAGGAGGCGGAGGAGAAGGGCGAGGAGGAGGAGGGCAAAGAAGAGAATGCTTCTGGAGTCTCGGTGTGGCGCGGATGAGGGCGAGAAGGAGGAGGGCGAGGAGAAGGAGGATGAAGGCGAGGAGGAGGAGGGCGAGAAGGAGGAGGAGGGCGAGGAGGAGGAGGGTGAGGAGAAACCAATGCGAACCCAAGACTCACCAACGATGTTGGAATACACCCTCCCTCCACGCTCCCTCTTCATAGGCCCACACAAAGATTTATTTCCACTGGGGGCATTGCGCCGTTGTGGGACAATCGTGTGACAATATACACGCGTGCCAAGCACCATTCTCAAGACTTCCGCACCACGAAGTAACCTGACTGTTACGTCTTGACGATCCTGAACCGTGCCAAAACACCTTCCCTGGAACCTCAACACCGCGAATCAACGTCACTGCTGTGTCCTGACAACCCTGAATCGTTCATCTTGTGTTGAAATGATAGCAATGCGAATCCGTGAAACCCTTGCAAATTCTTTGAAATGAAGGTGCGCGGCGTTGAGGCGAGAGCCGCATTTTGAAACAAAGGGCCGCCCTAAATCTGGAATGTGTCGCAATTTTGTTCGACGAATAGAAGCGGCGCTAAAGCAATAACCACATATGTATGTGTATATATACATATAGGTATAAAACACGCCCTCCTTCCAACCCATGCGGCGCTAAAACGAGAACCACATGTTGAAAACGACCTCTCCTCCATCCGTGAAACGACTGCGCGCGGCGCTAAAGCGAGGGCCACAGTTTGAAAACCACCCGCCCTCAATCCGTGAAACTCTTGCATATGTTTAAGACGAGTGTGCGCGGCGCTGAAGCGACAACCACATTTTGAAAACCACCCGCCCACCATCTGTGAAGCTGTTGCGAGTTCTAAGATTCGAGGATCTTATATACTCTGCAGTGCCCCTAGGGGAGTCGACAAACCCCAGAGGGAGATTGAAGATTTCCCCCCTCAGGGAAGGAACATCTACGGGGCTCGCACAACAGAATTGCAACCAAACTGCGGCGGCGACGGGCGGCGACGAGCGGGCCAGACCAGCGCACAGGACCCAGACGGGCGGCTGCGACGAGCCGGCGACGGGTGGCGACAAGCCGGCTGGACTGGCTGCACAGGCCCAGTGAGTGAGAAGAACAGAAAAGCCCATGTTGATGGTGACGTCGACGTCGACGACGACGATTAGGATGATGATGAGGATGATGATGAGGAGGATGATGGTGATGGTGATGGTGATGGTGATGGTGATGGTGATGGTGATGGTGATGGTGATGGTGGTGGTGGTGGTGGTGGTGGTGGTGGTGGTGGTGGTGGTGGTGGTGGAAGTTTTGATGGTGGCATGGTGGTGATGATGCTGATGCTGATGATGTGGAGGGGGGCCGTGCCTGCGCCCTCGAGGCGGGAGGGCGGCAGGGAGAGCGGAGGGGAGCCTCAAGACGAAGGCAATGACAAGGACCAAAGTCAGGTGATAATAAATCGGCCGCGTGTCGAGCCTTTCCCCTCAAGATGGCTCCAAGAGACCCCAGGCCCACGAGGCGCCCCCAGAAAGCCCAACGAGGCATCCGCGAGGCGACCAAGAAGCCCCCAAGGGGCCGCCAAGAGGCCTCGAAACGGTCCCGAGAGCCCTCCGAGAGGTCCAGCTTGACGGGTCGGCGTAATGGCGCAAGGCACTTCAAAGCATGGGCCGCCGGAATCGGACATGACGTATCGGGCGCCGCAGCCGTCCCAAAATGACCTAACTTAAACCTGATCCTAGACCTGCCTTCGAGCCGCTGGATGCCTGGGCCCCTCCGGGGGCGGCCAGCGGCTCGACACGGGCGATCCTCCGATGCAGCGGCGATGCGGCGCGGTCCTCCGACCCCGTCTGCTCCAACCCCGTCTGGCAGGCCCAGACCCTCTCCTCCCCATCTCCCCCCTCGGGGTAGCCCTCCTCCGCCCACGAACATGGCTGCTGCGTCCTCCCCGGTGGCCGAGCGCCGCGGGGGGGGGGGACAAGGGTGCGCCCGTCGTGGTTCTGAAGCCTTCGGTTCCAAAAGGCGGGCGTCGAGCGGAGGAGCGCAGAGGGCCCGGGGCGCCTCTAGGAGCGCGGAGTCGTTGTCCCGAGCGCGAGTGGCCTCGAGGCCCTCGCCAACTGGCAGCCGCCACAGCAGCCCGCAGGCCGCGATCACGTCCACGTCATAGGCCGGGCGGCCGCAGGGGAGCCCCCGGACGGCCTCCGCGTGGGCCCCTGCAGGGCGTCCTGCGCAGGAGCGCCACGCGAAGGGCGACGACGTCGACGTCGACCACCCGCGACGATGGCCGCGCGGCAACGATGACGGCGACCTCACCCCCCCTTAGGTGGCGACGTCGGAACCACCCCCCACCAACCATCGATTCTCCTGAACCGATGGAAGGCGGGGGTAGGGTTCGGATTCCGCAAGGTGTTCGGCGAATTCCGAATCCTACAAACTGACCCCGGGGAGTGAATCGAGACTTCTGGGACCCCGCATCGAAAAAACAAGGATCATGCAGGGGGAAAGCATCGATCTTCAGTCGGCGAGACATCTGGATCGGCGATAGGCCCCAGATATAGAATCCGCACGCCCCTGGGCCAGCAGGGCCCTGTTGGCGACCACTGGGCGAATGGAAGTCGATCCCCGCTGCCTGACGTTGCCCCTGACAAGACAGTGACGGCGACGCCTTCGTCTCGACGGTTTTTGGGCGAGTCTGGGGGTTTCTCTGCGCAGCGGCAGGGCACGGAGTTGGGGCAAGCTGGCAGTTGCTGAGCTTCGGTGCGGAGTCTGGGCGCTGGTTGTGAGCGGGACCCTGGGTGGACAGGCAAGCAGCGCAATGAGAGAGAAAGAGAGAGAGAGAGCAATGCACACGCACGCTAGAATCACGAGCGAGAGCTTCCCACGCTTGGGTTCTAATTCCTCGATCACCGGCCGTCGGATGTTGGCCGTCGTGGGGTCGTCTTGGAACCGTCTTAGAGCCTCTTGGGGTCACCTTGGGTCCTCCTGGACCCTCCGGGGGGCCATCTTGGATCCTTTCTTGGGACAACCCGGGGCGCTGTTGGGCCGCTGGGACCTCTTCGGGCCGTCTTCAGGACAGCGAGGGGTGAGGAACCGATCAGGTGGACCGCCTCCGTAAAGGAAGGGGGGGGGGGCATGAACCTGGAATCGGCGACACGTCGCCGAGAGATCGGCATGGGCCCTCGCTCTAGCGAGGCCGCACGCTCCTGGTCGGGGTGCGGCGCCCAGGCCCCGACCGGCGACGAATGTGCGCTTGGGGGCCGATGTCCCGCACCTGGCAGGCGAGCCCAGAATCGAATCGACAAGTCGGATCGGCGATCGAAATTAATCGCATCGGCGGAAATCGGCAGCCACGTCGGGAGAAGTCGACTCGGCAGAAATCGGCAGGCTAGTAGGCCTCCATTGAGGAATCGGAGTCCAAATCGAAGTCCGAAGTCGAATCGAATCGGAATCGGAGGCCATCGAAATCGAATCGAATGGGAGGAATCGAAATGAGCCCTGACCTGGGTCGAGCCCCCCATGTCGTTGCCCCCTGGTTTTCGACCCCATGACTTGGATCTCTGGCGGCTGCTCGGAGCGATCTGGGCACCCCCCAGAAACCCTCGGCGAGGCACAGCCGCTTGAAGGCACCCCGAGGCCGGAAAGCGACAGAGGGGCGACGAAAACGTCCGAAGACCTCGAACCTCGATCCCAGACCTTCGATTTCTAGATGTATTGCATCGCTTCGCTCATTCCATCAGCCCACAACTGCACGCTGCTGTCGACTGAACGAGTGGTCTTTCGCGATGCGGAGCTGCAGGGGCGACGGCTGTTTTTTCAAGGTTTGCGTTCGGCATGTGAGTTTTCTTGGTGGTCGCCGGGGGAGTCTTGAACACGTCGCGTTCCGTCTGGAAGCGTTTTGCCTATGGGGACTCTTTCGGGAGGCCACTTGGTGGCCTCTTGGGGACTCCTGAAAACGTCGGGTCGTTGCACTTGATTGCGTGCTCGGGGGGGGCATTTGGGGGGCCTCCTGGGGCCGCTTGGGGGCATCTTGGGGGCCTCCTGAGGGCCTGTTGGGGGTCTCTTGGGGCCTCTTAGGGGCCTCTTGGGGAATTCTGGGGGCTTCTCAGGGCCGAGGACTCGGAATGTTGTTTCGTGTTCCCCCCCTGGGACCTCTCTTGGAGCGTTCTTGGGGCCTTCTTGGGCCGTCTTGGAAGCCTCTTGGGCCGTCTTGGAGCCCTCTTGGGAGGTCTTGGGGCCTTCTTGGGGGCCTCTTGGGCCCTCTTGGGGATGTCTTGGGGGCATCTGGGGCCGTCTCGGGGTGTCGGGAAGCCGAAAAGATGGAAACGCCAAAATCTCTCCCAAACCCAAAGAAAAAAACAATGAGTGTTGCCTCTGGGGGCCCTCCTGGGGCCGCTTGGGGGCCCGTTCAGGGCGTCTTGGGGTCTCTTAGGGGACTCTTGGGGACCACTGTGGCCTTCTTAAGGCCGAGAGCTCCAAATGTTGTTTCGTGTTCCCCCCCTGGGACCTCTCTTGGGCCTTGGGGCGTTCTTGAGCCGTCTTGGAGGCCTCGTGGGCCGTTTCGGGGCCCTCTTGGGCCGTCTTGGAGCTCTCTTGGGGGCCTCTTGGGCCCTCTTGGGGCGGTCTTGGGGGCCTCTTGGGCCGTCTTGGGTTTCGGGAAAGACGCCAACATCTCTCCAAAACCTAAGGAAAAGCAATAATCGTTGCCTCTGGGGGCCCTCCTGGGGCCGCTTGGGGGCCTGTTCGGGGCGTCTTGGGGTCTGTTTTGGGCCTCTTGGAGAATTCTGGGGGCTTCTTAGGGCCGAGGGCTCGGAATGTTGTTTCGTGTTCCCCCCCTGGGACCTCTCTTGGAGCGTTCTTGGGGCCTTCTTGGGCCGTCTTGAGCCTCTTGGGCCGCTTCGGAGCCCTATTGGGAGGTCTTGGAGCCCTCTTGGGGGCCTCTTGGGCCCTCTTGGGGCGGTCTTGGGGGCCTCTGGGGCCGTCTCGGGGTGTCGGGAAGCCGAAAAGATGGAAACGCCAAAATCTCTCCAATACCTAAGGGGAAGCAATGAATTTTGCCTCATGGGGCCCTCTTGAGTGCTCTGGGAGGCGTGTTGGGCATCTTGTGCGTCTTGGGCCGATCTTGTGGCACCTCGGATCTCTCTTGTATCATCTTGAGGGGCTCTTGGCGGCCTTTTGGCCTTTCTTAGGGCTCTCTGGAAGGCCTCGAGGGCGACGCCCAGGAGGAAAACCAACCCTGATCCGCAGCGCCCGGGACCTGCCCGGGGTACTTCTCTTCCGGGGACCTCCAGGGGCCGCCCCGCGCGCGCTAAGTAGAATTACTGTACAGCAGTTACCGGAGATCTTAGCACGCCTCTGACCCGTTGGGCCGGCGAATTCCGTATGGGGTCCCTGAAGTCCCGACCCTTCCCCCAAGGCCAATCGTCATCCCGAGTCGTTTTTGAACGGTCCTGGGGCCCGGCGTGGGCCCCTGGAGGCCGAAAACTGCATGTCTGAGACGATCGTTGCCCTTGACCCATAGAGAACGCCCTGGGGACACCCGGCGTCGGCTCAGGGACAGTCCCGCGGCGTTCCCCAGCATCCGGATGACGACGAGGACGAGGACACGAGCACAAAGTAGGAACATGGAGAGGCGACACCAACACCACCAGGAACCATCAGCGGGAGGAGCCAGGGAGGGATCCTCCGGCCCCCCCCTCTCGCTCGAGACATCCTCTATTCCCAGCTCGGGGAGGCATCGTGGACCTCCTCGTTGGAGGTGGCCCCCATCCCCCCCCCCCACAGAGGGGGGAACGCACGACAAGGCGCCAGGGGAGAGGAGCAAGCCCACGGCTCAGCGCGCGGGCTCTCGCGCCCGCGCGCCGGCATCTCTCTGCCTGTGCTCGGCCGGGTCAGAAGAGCGAGGCCCTTGCTCCCTCGCTCTCGGGTAAAGGGGACAAGCAAGCGGAACCCCTTCGTCTTCGGCCCGGCGTTCGCCCCCCCGCCTCCCTCCCCCCAATTTCAAAGTTGGCTTCGGCCTCCCGGATGCCCTGGGGCTTCCATTCCTTTTGTCCTCTCACGCCTGTGCTGCCGAATGCCTGGCGCGAACGTTGAAATTGGGAGGGGGGGGTCGCGATGTCAAGGTCCACTTTGTTGTCCATCTACGGTCCCTATGTCTCCCCCTCGCCAGAGGTCCTGGATCGACAGGCGATCCAGCGAGCCTCTGCTGGGTCGCCCTCCGAGCCCGAGGGAGCGTCCGACCGCGAGGGGACTTCACGTGAGCCCCCCCTGGCCCGCCCCGAGGGCCAGGCCGAGCCATGCCCCCCCCCCCCGTCCCCCTCGCTGCGAGGGGGGGGGAGAGGGGGAGGGGTACAAGAGAGGGGGGGGGAGGCGCAGGAGGGGCGAGGAAGGGCAGGCGCGCAGCGAGCGGGCGCGGACCAGGAGCGGAGGGGGGAGGGCGACAGGGGCCGCCCTGGAATCCGACGGCACAGGGAGCGTGACGCACACGCACACGCACACGCACACGCACACGCACACGCACACGCACACGCACACGCACACGCACACCCACACCCACACCCACACCCACACCCACACCCACACACACCACACACACACACCACACAACACCCCCACACACACACACATCAAGCTTGTCAGCGAAAGAAAAATCTAGAAATGTCGTACTCGAGTCAAAGGGAAGCTCCTGCCCTTTGATCCCTCCCCGGCCTGGGGGGGGGGGTCGCCGGGACGGTTCCAAGGGGAGGGTCAGGTACGCCTCCCCCCCTGGGGGTCCCGGGGCCTCAGAAAGTACCAAGACAGACCAAGAGTGTCCCAAGAAGCCCCCGAGACGTTCCAGGAGGGTCCCCATTCGCCAAACGATCGGTCCAGAACGCCTTCACGCCCTCCAGACTGCCCAGGAAGCTTCTAGGACGCCCCAATAATTAAGCCTCCAAGCGCACTCCCGGGAGGGCCCCAAGAGGCCAAATTCACTGATTTGCCGTTTTTCGTTTTGAGGATTCGGGCATTCTCGCATTTTTTACGTCCCGCCGCTCCAAACGGCACAAGAGGCACCCAAGATCGCCCCCAAACGGCCCAAGAGGCCTCCAAGAGGGCCCCCAATCAGCCCAAGAGGACCCCAAGACAGCCCCAAACGCCTCCAAGGCGGCCCAAGAGGCCCCCAAGACGGCTCCAAGAGCGTGCCTAGATGGGGGACCCGAGCGGACATTTCGAACCCTCGGCCCCGAGAGGCCTCCAGGGCGCCGCATCGACGTCGGCGATGCATCGGCGACGTCGATGTGAAGCAAATCGGGCTTCACATCGAGCCGCATTGGCGATGCATCGGCGATGCGGCGCGATCCTCCGACCCGATCTACTCGACCCCATCTGGGAGGCCTACGGCAGGTTCACGTCGCGATGACGTCAGCGTTGGTTTCTGACACCGCGTGCACCGCTCAACCCTGAACGACCGCTTCTGTGCCAGCGGCGGCGTTCGAGCCTGTCTGCCCGAGCTGGCGCCGCCGCCGAGTCAACGCGGCGTGAATCTGCCGTAGAACGAGGTCGGGCATGTCCCCCTACAGGCGGATTTTGGAGGAAAATTGGAAAATCCACCGACCCTGTCGGCGTGTGGAAGAGGCTCTTTCGTTGGATTCGTCTTCGTCGTCGTCGCGTCGCCGTCGCCCGCTCCCTCTCTTTCCCTGGGCCCGTCGCCGCTCTCCCCTTTTCCTGGGCCCTCCTCTTCAAGCGCGCCTGAGTCAACGGAGAGTCCTTTCCCTTTGATCCGTTCCCCGCCACGGGGGGTCCCAGGGGGTGGTCCCGGGGGGGGGTCCCGGGGGGAGTCCGGGGGTTGTCCCGGGGGTGTCCCGGGTCAGAATACGTCCCCTCCCTGAGGGGGCCCGGGGCCCAGAAAAGTTCTAAGACGAGCCAAGAGTGCCCCAAGAGGCCTCCAAGACGGTTCAAGAGGATCCCGAATCGCCGAACGATCGGTCCAAGACGTCTCTACGGCCTCCACACGGCCCAAGAAGACAATAAGACGCCCCAAGAGGCCTCGAAGAGCACTCCAAGAGAGCCCCAAGAGGCAAATTCATGGATTCCCGTTCAGTTTGTCAAGGATTTGGGCGTTCTCGCCTTCTCAGATTCCCGACGCTCCAAAACGGCCTAAGTGGCTCCAACGATCGCCCCAAGAGGCCTCCAAGAAGGTCCCGAGACGGGCCAAAGAAGGCCCGAAGACAACCCAAGACGCCTGCAAGACGGCCCAAGAGGCCACCAAGAGGGCACCCAAAGGGTGCCAAGACAGGGGAACCAAACAGACATTTCGAGCCCTCGGCCCCGAGAGGCTCCCAGGAACCCCCGAGAGGCCCCGAAGAGGCCCCCATGCGGCGCCAAGAGGCCCCCAAGAGGCAGAAGCCCCAAGAGGCTCTCTAGAGGCTCCCAAGAGGCCTCCAAGATGCTCCCAAGTGGCACCCAAAACTGCCCCCCAGAGGCCCCCCAGAGCGCTCGGAAGAGACCCCAAACAGAATCCCTGAGGACTCTGACCCACGTCAGCGTCGTCGTCGTCGTCGTCGTCGTCGTCGTCGTCGTCGTCGTCGTCGTCGTCCCCCTTCAGGGTCGGCGGCACCGGCCGTAAGACCTTCGCAATAATCAAACAATGCTCAGAAAATAATCAGAACCAGTCGAGACATCGTCCCCTGAGTAATTCTTGAGCATTCCTCCCGTAGAGAGTGGGACATGCCCGACCTGACCGTAGAGTGGCGGGTCCTCGGCCGCCGCCGAACGCCGGGTGCACGAGCAGCTCGACGGCCGGCGGGCGGTCGCTCGGCTCGGCCACCAGGCACTGCTCCACGAGGTTCGCCACCAGCGCCGGCAGCCTGCGGCCGGCCGCTTGCCGCAGCCGCAGGCCCTCGCCGCCCTCGCCGCCGCCGCCGCCGCCCGCCTCTCGCCGCCGTAGGCCCTTGCCGCCCTCGACCGCCCCTCGCCAGCGCCCTCGCCGCCGCCGCCGCAAGCCGCAGGCCCTGGGCCACGTGGCTTCGCACATCGCGCTCCGCGAGGCGCGGGTATCTCCCTCGTGACCACACGCCGCCGCCCTCGGAGAAGCCAGCCCAGACAGAGACGCGCGGAGCGCGGCTAACTATATTTGGGCGGCGAACCTGGGGGTGGAGGCGAGAAAGGGGCGGGCCTTTTCTGAAGGCTCGGAAGGCCTCGGGCCTTCTGCGAAGCTGTCTAAGCCTTCCCCGACTATACGAAAAACTTCTCCTAAGGCGCGGGGGCTTCTGAGAAGTCCCGCCGCCTTCTAAGAAGGCCTCGCCCGCCGCCGACTAGAGACTGCCAACGCGATGATCCTCAGAACGGGTGCTAGCGCCAACGTGCGAAATCAGGGCCAGCACAGGCTGCGCGCAAGTCGGAGCCGAACGGGGCAACACGCCTTCACACGGGGCTAACACACGTCCTGACCATCATCGAATCATCGACCAACGTGAACAAACACAAGACCTGCATTTTCGTCGTTTTCGGCCTCTGGAACCCCCTGCCGGGCCCCGGGACGGTGGGAAAACGAGTCAAGACGAGAAGCCAGTCCCGGGGGAGTGGTCCAGAGCTCCAGGAAACCCGCATTGACAAAATCATGACGCTGGAGGTCTGGGGCCGTCGTCGTTGACATCTCCCTCTCCGTCCCCGCCACCGCCGAGGAAGCGAGGGGGGGAGAGAATAGGGAGGAATAGCAGCGGGGGGGAGGACGAGGGGAGGGCAGGGCAGGGCAGGCACTGGTACGGCACGTGCCTGCGGGCGCCAGAGGAGGAGGAGGAGGAGGAGGTGGAGGAGGAGGAGGAGGAGGAGGAGGAGGAGGAGTTGGAGGCGAAGGAGGAGAGGATGAGGAGGAGAAGGAAGAGGAGGAGGAGGAGGAGGAGGAGGAGGAGGAGACGGAGGAGGAAGAGGAAGAGGGCGATCACTCCCAAGCCGACGTCATCATCAGCATCAGCATCCACTAGGCTGCCACTGGCGGCCCCCAAGAGGGGCGCGTGAGCCTGGACAGGTCCATCGAAGGCGCTAATCCGCGCTTGAGGGCCTCCTGCACGTTGCCGTTGTCCTTGTCGAGTGCGGCGTTATCTCTCGTATGTTTCCTCCTCCTCCTTGATGATGATGACGGTGACGGTGACGATGATGACATTGGTGACAATTATGACGATGACGATGAGCCAGTGAACAAGCATCGCCATCATCACCTTTCCTCCTGTGTTGGGCCTCCAGCCTCGAGAGGCTTCTGGAGGCCCTGTCTGATTACGCATAACACGAGGAGGCTGTTTTGAGGGTCGAGATCGTATAGGAGAGTCGGCGGACAGAAGGGAGTCATTTGCATTGGAAACTGCTGTGATTATGGGAGGGTTCGGATTTCAGATAAAGCGAGGGCGCGCCTAGCTTGTCCTCACCCTCTTCCCTCTCCCCATCCTCGTCACCCCATTCTCTTCCTCCCCCCCCTCCCATCCCTCCACTCCCTTCCTCTCCCATTCCTCCTTCCCCCTCTCTCTTTTGCACTGCCCTTCCATTATTTTCCTCCTGCGCCTGCTCCTCTCCCTCCCTTCCTTCACTGCCTTCCCTCCCTCATCCGCCTCTCCCTCACTGCCACCTTTCCGTCCTAGCTCTTTTCTTCCTCACTCCCTCCCCATCCTCTCCCTCCCTTCCGCTCCCTCATCATCCTCCACCCTCCCTACTCCTCTCCACCCATTCATCCCTCCGCATCTGGCCTCACTCTGCCTCCGACGACGACACTCGAAAATCGGCCCGCCCCTTCTGGGGTGCATTACCGCCAGAAGTTCAAGGGGAACCCAGCCGAGGCGACGAGAAGCCCCTCGAAAGGCGCAAAACGCAACAAAACCTCGAGCCTTGATCCTCGATCTTGTTCACGGGTCATCCTTCCCCGACGACGCCGAAGGGACTCGGCTCTCTGGCGGCCCATCGGGACGATTCGGGCCCCCACAAACAATTTTCGGCGAGACGCAAGTGCTGGAGAAAATCCCGACGCCTGAAAGCCTCCAGGAGCATACGGAAACGTCACAACATGTTGATCACCACGGCGACAATGGCCAGCGATGGCCTCGGGAAGCCTCCGAACGTCGCCCAAGGCATCCGAGGGCCTCCGCTGGGCCGCCGAGGGGGCCGGTCCTGGTCGAAGGGCAGCTGCCCCAGGAACGCGTAGCAAATGCTCAGGCCACCAGACCAGATGTCCACGCGCTCGTTCCTCGGGGGCGGGGCGGGGTCCTCCTCGCTCCTCTCCCGTCCGCCCCCCCTCTGTGGGCAGTGGATCTCTCTTTCCTCTCCCCTTCTTCCTTTCTCTCCTCCTCCATCCTCACGCCTCCTCCCTCGGTCTCCTCGAGAGGGCGGAGTGGAGGCAGCAGAAGGGAGTCGGAGGTCGGAGGAGGATGGGGAGCGAGGAGGAGTGGGGGGCGGGGAGGAGGAAGCAAATGGGGAGGGGGAGGAGATATGGCAGGGAGGAGGAGAATTGGGGATAGAGGAAGCGGAGGAGAATGAGGCTGAGGGAGACGGGGCCAATGCAGAGGGAGGACGAGGACGAGGGGGAATGCAGGAATGGGAGAGGAAGGAGAGGGAGGAGAGGGAGGGAGGGAGGGAGAGGGAGGACGGAGAGACATGCTGGAGAGCAAGGGGGGGGGCCCAGGTTTTTGCCGCGCGGCCCCCGTGTTCTCCAACAGCAAACACCCCACAGCAGCGGAACGAGGGCCAGAGAGCCCTGGAGGCGAGCGGAGCCCCCGGCGAAGAGTCAGGACATGGAGCTAGAGGAGGACGAGGTGGAGGAGGAGGAGGTGGAGGAGGAGGAGGAGGACGACAAGGAGCAGGACAGGAGGAGGAGGAGCAGGAGGAGGAGCAGGAGGAGAAGGAGCAGGAGGAGGAGCAGGAGGAGGAGGCGGAGGAGAGGCGTAATCTGTTGGCCTACAGGCCCAAGTCGGCACACATGTTCTTTCACACGGACCCAACAGCCAAGACGCTCAAGTTCGCCCACTGTAACATGAAGAGGATAATGATGAACAGGGAGGGGGAAGATGATGGAGGGAAACAGGGGAGGAGGACGAAGGGAGTAGGGGATGAGTAGGCGCAAGGATGGTGTGGAGATGAGGATAGATGAGAATGAGAAGGGGGAGACGTGGGGGAGAGGGGTCGGAAAGAGATGGTGGGATGCGTTTTTTTGGACGGGGGGCGGACTAAGAAAGAGGGGCGGAGAGGAAGAGGGGAACGAACTTGATGAATGGAAGAGAGGACCAAGGAGTAGAAGGCGGGAACATCGATGGGGGAAGAGCGAGGAATGCGCATGGGGAAGGAGGAGGAGGCTGCCCGCGGAGAGGCAGAGCGGACATGACGGTGGAGGGGATTGATGGAGAGGGCGATGGAGCTGCGGGGCGGAGGTGGGGAGGGGGATGCTGCAGGGGAGGAGAGGGAAGAAGGATACGAGGTCAAGGAGGACGCGAGGTAGAGAAGAGAGAAAAAAGATGAAGGAGGGAGAGGATGAGGACGAAGGCACGGAGGACAAGTTGAGTGGGGCAGGGATAGGAGAGTTGCCTACAAACAACGAGCCCGAAACCTTGGAGGGGTATGAGCCACAATCTGGGCCATGTCGAATAGCCCCCTTGGGATTGCCTCCACATGTGTGGCAATAACCCTTGGCGGTTTCGGTCTGACTAGCTCCCATCATAATACAAGGTCCGCAGAGCTGAATACTCTGCTGCTGCGTGGGGAGTAGGATGGAGGAAGGATAATTGAAACGAGGGGGAGATGATGGAAAAGGAGGTCAAGGAGAGAACATTGAACCCGTATAAGAAGGGGCGCGGTAAGGAAGCAAGGACCTTGGAGAGCCATGTTGAAGTTGTTCGAACGAGATTGGCCATCGACATTCGCTAAGGATGGGCCGAAGGGGCAGGGATGCAAGGGCAACCTTGGAAAGTCGTTCATCCTGACTATGCGGGTTGACTGTAATTTGAGAAAGACTGGGGGGGGATGGACGGGGAATACATAGAGGGGACAAGGATGGGTGGATAGCAGTGGAAGGGGCATATGAGGCGGAGGAGGTTGGATCGAGATGGAGGAAGGGGGGGCGAGCAGGAAAAAGCGAGGAACATCGGAATTGCGGAAGGAGCATGATAGGAGAGGAGTGGGGAGAGGATGGGATGAGAAGTGGAGAAAAGTTAGGATGGAGGAGGGGCTGTTGAAGGGGAGCGGCGAGTCCCTGACATCTGCGCTGGGGTGTACGTTTTCCTTGCCAGTCCTGGCTGCCGAGGAGACGGCGCGGCGCCACTCCTGCGACAGCCTCGGCCTCAGGCGACACGCCCGAAGAGCGTGTGCTTTTCCCAGCGTTCCCCAGCCCAGCGTGGCGCTCAGTACTGGCCGCGGGCGAGCGCGGGTGCGTGCCCTATGGGCGCAGCGGGAAATGGACGGCCTAACTAAAGGAGCACACAACTCAACGTTGTCTGGACAATGATGGGTCGGGAGCGCAAGTGCACGTCAGACGGGGACGTTGAGGCATGGGCAGCATAAGAGTACGGCGTGCGACGACGGAGGCGCGGCAATTGACGGATGAACGAAACGTGCACAGCTGGACAGAGCCTTGGGGCAAACCCCAAGGTGAGCAGGGGGCGAAGTGTCTCCGCTGCGGAGGGAGGCAGACGGAAGATGCGCAGGTGCGCGGCTGCAGGAAAGCGCACCCGGAGGCAGACGCACCGGTAGGCTAGGGCTCAAAAAGCGCATCCGAGCCATCTGATGGGGAATGCTTCCGAGCCGCCAGGCCTCGCGAGGTGGGCAGCGGGCAGGCTGATGGGGAGGACGGTGGGTCTGGGCCGCTCTGCTCCCCGTCGAGTGAGGACGAGGAGGCGGGCGGAGGAGCGAGGACAGAGGGGCAGACCACGGAGGTAAGCACCACCTCGCGGAGGTCCGCGCGGACCTCTCGGGTCGGCGCTGCGCCGGCGGGGGGGGGGGGTCGGGCGCCCACCCGAGGAGCTCCGCGCGACCTCCGAGAGTGCATGAGCACGCAGCTGCTTCTTCTTCTTCTTCGAGGAGGGGAGGGGCAGTCCAGGGAGGTCCCAGGGAGCCTCCAGAGGCATTCCGGTGCCCGAAAATAGCCCCGAACCAACACTGCATCGATCCTCAATTCCTCGATCCCCCTCTTTCTCCACCGCCTCCTCGTCCTCCTCCGAGGCTCCAGATCAGCCCAGCGCGGATTTCGGGCGGGCTGTAGCACGCGGTGCCCCGGTCGGTGAGCATGGAGGAGCTGAGCGCGGGGTGGCTACCTCGCGGGATGAGGGAGGGCGACGAGGGAGGGATTCAGCCCGCCCTGCGGGGAGGGGAGGTGACAGTGGGGGCTGGGTGGCGAGGTGGGGGTGACGGGGAGAGGGGGTGACGAAGAGAGGGGCCACGAGGAGGCGGATCGAACCCGTTCGGCGGAGAGGTCCAAAGAAGGCACAGAAACGCGCAAACGAGCACCAGCCATCCCGCGCATGCGCGTATCTGCTATAGATACACCCCCCGACTCTGGCCAAGCCCAACTACAAACAAACTATACATAACCGCCACAGTTCCCCCTGGAACGTTGAGGCGTGGTAGAATACAACGTGCTGTCTGGTCAGATTTCTGAAAAAATCGTCTAGCGCTCCCCCACCCCCGACTCCCCACGCATCGCCCCGTAGTCGCGAGGCATCACTGGTGGCCTGATGACGACGTGCTCTCCAAGGCTTCCAGGACGATCCAGGAAAGCTACCCTGGTCGCCAAGATTACCCAACATGAGCCGGATATGCACTCAACAGCTCCACAGAAGAAACCAAACAAAACGAATCTGCAAGAAACCCCGCCATGCTTGCAACGCGCCAAAGAAAAACCAAATGAATCAAATACCTGCATTTCCTGGCCTTCTCGGCTTCATGAGTCCACGAGGGCCACGGAGGAGCCAGAAAGAGGCCAACAACAAAAACAACGAGAGGCACCCCGAGCATTCTAGTCGGCCCAGGAACGCCCCAAGAGGGCCCCGATACGGCCCCAAAGGAGAGGGGCGCAGCCCAAGAGAGCCCCTAGACGGTCCAAGAGGGCCCGAAGAGGCCCCCAAGACAGCCCCAAGAGACTCGCCTGACGGCCGAGAGGGGTCCACGATTGCAGCAAGACGGCTTCAGACAGCCCCAAGGCGGCCCTGGATGACACCAGGAGGGCCCCAGGGCAACTTCAAGACGGCCCATGCAACCATGAGAACCAATCAACCAAGAGATACGAGGTGTGTCACGCGTTACGGCCTTCTGGGCGGTGTGCGAAACATTGCCAGACAGTGCGCTGCGCTGGCTCAGAGGCGGGACTTGCCGCAGGCAGCTGGAGTAGGAGCTCTGGGCCCAGAATCCATGTATACCCCTCCCTGGCATATACACCGATCGTGGGCCAAAGATCGGCCTAGCGGGGATCGGTGCAGGTGTATATCGGCAGGTCAAAAATGAGCCCTGAGACATGAAATTCTGTCGAAGAGGCCACGGGAAAAATATAAAACCTGGAAGTCCACTCCTGTCCTCAAGGCCCCAACTTGGCCCCCCGACGAAGAGAACTGGAGGACTCGCGGAAAGGGGGATGAGGAGGAGGGGGAGGAAAGGAGTAGAAGGAGGAAGAGGAGGAGGAGAAGGAATGAACAGGAGGAGGAGGACTGAGGAGCGAGGGGAAGGGCGAGGGATGGCGAGGGGAACCTATCTGCTTGGCGCTGTTGAAGTCCCCTATCTTGACCACGGTGGCCCCGCTGCTCAGAAGCGGGTTGTCCGGCTTGATGTGTGTGGACTGGTTCATGGCGCGGTAACCGAACTCTGGGTTACGGTTCCCCACTCAAGCTCACGGGCTCATTGTAGCCTCAGGTAGCTTGTCATATCTGTCCATATTGAGATCGTAGCTCTGATCACCACCATTTCTTTCCTCATCCGTAACCATGCCAGTGCATGCTGTCTCCACATAGTATCGTATTCTTTTCGTGTTCATCCCCTGGCAGTGTAACTTGCACAAAGGTCTTCGACACGCATACCTCATAGTGAAATCCCGCTGCGTACTGAAAAGTAAATGTCGGCGTACTGCTTTGTTCTCATTATTCCCCAAGTTGTACTCCTCAATGTACTTGGCGTGCGTACTATATCTGCGCGTTGAAAGTGTTTGCCATTCTTCCAAAGTTTTCTCTCCCAAGTTCCATCGTCCAGGACACGTCTTTGCTGCGTGACTCCATGCGACAATTGGTTCACCCTCTGCCCTTCGCAAGTCAATATCCCTTTCGCATCTCGTACATTTGAGGATCGTGGCCAGCGCTTTGTCAAAAGGGGTTAAGAATAAGCGCATTGCCTCATCGTCCTTTGCCGTTATGTTATGAGATAGCCGTCTCTCTTCTTTCCTCCGATGAAAACTCGTTTTGATACTCTCGAGGAGCTTCCTATCATCTTCGGTCAATAAGTCCGTGAATACAGCTTTCAAAGTGTTGTGGTTTGGCCTAGCTCGAGGGTGTTCTTTGATATTAAAAACTCCATCTTTTGTTTGACCTCTGCTGTGTATTGACTCTTTGCCTCTCAACCTTCTCGACTGATGTACCTGAAGATTACCCTGCCAAGCTGGAGGTACACTGTGTGCTGGAAAATACTGCATTGACCACGGCTTTGGCGCATCCAATGCCATTCCCGTCGTCGCAATATTGAATAGTAATGAGTTTGTCGCTTCTGGCATGATCATCCTTAGTCGACCTTTGAGACTCAATTGAAAGAGGTGTCGACATTCTTTCAACGGTGGAAGAATAGCTCGCCCCTCCCTTTGTTTCTTGTCATACGTCGTGACCTCAGTAATATTCACATCTTCGCCTGAGTCCCGATCGAGTTTCCCGAGCCCCCTGAACGTAGCGCCATGCGCTCTCCTGTTGCGTATACAAAGTCGATCACCGCCGCGATCGATGAGGTGGTGCAGGCTGCCGCACTCTCGAAGTTCTCTGGTGCTGCTGGGGGATCTGGATCTATGTACGTATTCTGCCAATACCAAAAGATCGCCTCTGCACTACTTAGCTTGTATATCCAATGTACTTTGTGAAACCTCAGGTCCGTCAACTGGTCCCCCTTGAGGTGTGGTTGGCCAGGATTGACTTCTCTCGGCCCCCACCAGAAGTTAGGAAAGACCTGTTCTCTAGCAGCTCTCGTACCTACAGTGCGTTCCGCCTTTCCCGCCGATGGCAGGACTGAGGTCACTGTTCGTACTTGCTTCTCTCCAGAGTCCCGAGCTCCTTGACCTGGTTGGGGCGGCCCTGGGGTCCTCGGAGTTTGTGCCTTCGTGCTTGTGGTCCCTGGCCTGGTCGGTGATGGAGTCGCCCCAGCCCCTGGTTCGCTCTGTCCTGGTAGCCCTTCCCCTTGTTGTTTTCCTCGAAGTCGTCTCCGAGGAAGCTCTGGGTGGGGTTATGGTGGTCCTGGTGTCGGTGGGGGATGTACTACATTTGGCTGCTGCTCCGTGTCCTCGTCCATCCCTCCTCCGTGTCCAAAAACATCTGGTTCCTCCTCAAACATGGCCTCCTCCGCGTTCCTGTCCTCCTCCAGTTGGTGACGGGCTTGCTCGCTTAGTTCAGCCTGCTGTTGAAGGTACCCCTGTAGATTTGCTCCTCGGTTCCCGTGCCCAAAGAGTTTGAAACCCGCTGCTGCTCGGTATTGCACCACGCCTAATATCATGCTTTGTATGTCTTGTGCCAGCTTTACCCTCTTTTTGTATATGTCAAGGATCCCCTCGTCGATTGCATTCCTGAGTGCTGCTTGTACAGCACGCTTGTCTGCCTGTTCGTTGTGTAGACTTGCCTGCCTGCCAGCTGCCTCCTCGTTTTCAATCATTTCTTTTGTTTGATGACTTCGAACTTTGCGCACCTTGAAGTTTTCCTCACCTTTCATTCTGATGGCGAACTGAATTCTTCTCCACAAGTCTCGATGTGATTTAAATGTGATACTCTTTCTTTGAATGATCGATCGGAGGCCGCGGCACACGTAGTCGGAGTCGACTATATATACTTGGCGTGACCATGCCCATGAAGCCCAACGCAACGCCGCGCGGACCTCCGACCTCTGGGCCGTCTGAACCGACCCTCTCAAGATCTCCGTCGTGTTGTGTGAGTGTCCCTCCCCATAAAAGAGCTCCCATCCAGCACGTCTTAGCCTCATATCAATTTGCCCCGACGGAGCAGCACCATCACCAGCCACCACGAGATATCCTTCTTAATCCACGCCCATCTCGCCCCCCTCTTCAACTTGAGGGGGGTGGGGGTCAGGGCCCTCTTGTACCCCCAATGCAATTTCAACAGAGTTGTTGCCCAACTCGTCATCATCCGCAATAATACCAGTTAAACTTGTAAAAAGAGGGACTGCGTTGATTTCGTCCTCTGTGTATTTGTCACACAGCCATCTTCTTGCAGGAGCGTGATGTTCGCATTCCCAGAGGGCGTGCTGGACTGTCTCCGTGATTGGCTTTCTACAATAAGGGCAATCTGCACTCTCCAGATATCGAGGTACCAACTTGTCTGAAGTTATTAGTCCTGCCGACCAAAGGAGTCGACATGCTGCTCGTCGTGCATATGACCATTTGTACGGTGATACTGCAACTCCGCCAGGGGTATCTTGTACATCATGATGCTTGCTTTTGCTGCGCCGTTGCCGAGATAACTTCGCAGTAGCTGCATAGTCGATCCCAACCTCAGTCCCGATGTACTCTGCTCGTAAGTGTCGGTCCCGATGCGTATGAATATGGAAACCAGTTTTCCAGACCACCTTTCTGAGATCAGCTCTTAGTATGTGTCGGAAAAGCAAGCCATCTGACTCGAGAAGATGGATCCTCCCTCCTCCAGGCCTCGTGATCACAAAGTTCTCGTCGATGTTCCACTTGAGCTCGTGTAGTATAATAAGAAATACCTTCACTGGTCCATGTATGTCATCTTTGTTCGGTGGTTCTTTCTCATACTCGCCGATGGTAATTTTGAATACTGCCAAGATGTTCGATCGTTTTTGAAGCAAACGTCGTACCACCACCAGCGCCCAATATCTTGATGCCATCCACGGATCTATTAAGTGCCCGTGGGCCGCCAATGTGAAAGTTGCAATCCGCGCTCGGTACATAGTCTTTCCTGTCAGCATAACACGATGTACCCGAGCTGCCATGTGCTGCAACGTGGTAGTGTTGTACAAATGTTGCTCGCAACCGTAGAATCCCGTGGGGGAAGCATACAACGTCAGACATTTCTAACGGA